AAAAAAAAATACTTAAGAAATATTTGCAAATAAAAGAAATGTTAAAATATAAAATTTTATCAAAAAAATGTGTTAATTATGTATTAAAAGAACGAATTATATATATAATAGTTAAATTCTAGGTAATATATTAATAAATAAAAAATATTTAAATAAAACTATTTAAGAAGAAAATAAAATAAAGTTTTATTACTAATCTAGTATAATCTTTTTAAACAAAATATTTTGAATTTTTAGTAAAAGAATATATGGGGGGAAGAGATTTAAGATATCATTTGAATAATAAATTAAAAATAAAAGAAGAAGATGCAAGTATTAGTTTTATACTATAAAATTTATTAAAAAAGTAAATAATATATAATAGAATTAATAATAGGGTGCATATTAATTACATTACGATATATTCATAACAAAGGTTATATTCATAAAGATATAAAACCTGAAAATCTTATTTTTGATAATTAAGGTTATTATTTTTTAAATTTTATAGAATTTAACTAAATTTAATATTATTTAATAAAGATTACATTAGATTATCTGATTTTGGAATTTCAAGAAGTGTAAAATAATTTAATTAAAAAGAAACAAATGGAACAACATGATATAGGTAGAAAATATAAAACAGAAATAAATATATATATATATATATATAATAATAATTTATTAAAGCTTTAATTATTTTTAAAATATATTTTATTTAATTGAATTTTTGTAAAAAAAAAAATAATGAAAAAAAAATTATAAAAAATATGTGATTAAAAAAAATAAATATTTATCTTATATGAATTATAGTAATAAAAATATTATTTAATAAAGCAATAACTATCAAATATCAAAAATTTTATTTATAAAATATTTAAACATAATTTTATTAATTGATATAATTATATTTATATTTATTTATATTTATATATTATATATTTATATTTACATTTAAAAGTTTTTTTTTTATATTCATTTTTTTTTTTATTTATTAAAATATTTTGAGAAAAATAATTTTTACATTATATTTTAGTTAATTTTTTTTTTTTTTTTTATGTTTTTTTTTAATATATTTTTTTTGTTTTTTATTTGTCTATCCACTAATATAAAAATATATTTAGCTATATTATAAAAAAACTATAGTAATTTTATTACATTTATTGACATAAAAAATGAAATTTCAAAAAGTATTTTAAAAATATTTATTAAATTATTCATATATATTAATATGTTAATATATATTATATAATTTATACATTTTATAATATATTTATATATATATTTTTACATAACACATATATTTATTTATTAATATAATTTTTTTTTTTTATAGTTTTCAATATATCATTTTATATTTATATAATATTTAAAATACATAATTAAATTAACATGATAATTGTGTAATAAATTCTAATAAAAATGTATCTTTTTTAAACAATAATTAAATAATATAAATAGTAATTTTCAAAAAAATAAAAATTAAAAAAATGAAAGGAAATCCCGTATATATAGTAGCCACTAAAAGAACACCAATAGGCTCTTTAAATGGTTCTTTATCTTCTTTAAGAGGCCCTGAATTAGCTATGCACGCTATAAAAGGTGCTATTGAATAAATAAATTTAAACCCAACTTTAATTGATGAAGTAATATTAGGAAATGTATGTTCAGCTGGAGAAGGTCAAAATCCGGCCAGACAAGCTGCTTTATTAGCAGGACTTCCAAGCAATATACCATGCACGAATGTAAACAAAGTATGTGCAAGTGGAATGAAGAGTGTAATGTTTGGATGCTAAAGTATATAATTAGGACAATCTGAAATAGTTGTATGTGGAGGATTTGAATCTATGAGTAATGTGCCTTTTTATGTCCCTAATTATAGAAAAGGACATTCTTTTGGAAATTAAACACTTATCGATGGACTTTAATACGATGGTTTAACTAATTTTTATGATAATAAGGTAAAACTAATAAATATTTTTTTTAATTTTATTAAAATAAAATAAAAAAGGCTATGGGTTATTGTGCTGAAAAGACAGCAAAAGACTTTAATATAAATAGAGAAGAAAACGATTAATTTTGCCATGAATCATATGAAAAAGCATTAAAAGCTTAAAAAAATGAATTATTTAAAGATGAAATAATACCTATTAAAGTTAAGGATTAAATTGTAAAAAAGTTAATTATTTTATTTTTATTTTAATAAAAATAAAAATAATATAGATTAATTAAGATTAGGAACCTTAAAAATATAATAAAAATAAAATTTCTTAATTAAAACCTGTTTTTACATAAGAAGGAACTATAACGGCTGCAAATGCATCTAAAATTAACGACGGATCATGCATTATTAGTAAAAAAAAAAAATATTTTTTTATAAATAAAAAAATAGTATTAATGTCTTAAAATAAAATGAATGAATTAAAATTGAAACCATTAGCCTAAATTTTAAGCTATGCTGATGCGGAAGTTGAGCCAGTAGATTTTTGTATAGCACCTGCCAAATCAGGACAAAAAGCATTATATTAGGCTAATTTATAATTAAGTTAAGTTGATTATTTTGAGTTTAATGAAGCTTTCGCAACTACAGTTTTAGCAAATATCCGTTTATTAAAAATCAATTAAAATAGAGTCAATGTAAATGGAGGAGGAGTAGCTTTAGGACATCCTATAGGGTAAATATTTAATAACTTTAAATAACAAATTTTAATATATTAAATTTTATATTATAAAAAATAAAAAAAGAATGAGTGGCGCTAGAATTATTTAAAGCTTAATTTCTGTATTAAAGTAAAATAATGGTTAAATAGGAATGGCTGGTATTTGTAATGGTGGAGGTGGGGGATCTACAATTGTAATCAAAAATATACATTGAGAAATATATAACAATTATTATTTATTAATATTGTTTATTTTATTATAAATTATAGCTATATTAATTTTAATTAAATAATATCAAAAACATTAATGTTTTATTTATTTATTTTCACTAATATTATTTCGCAAGATTACTTCGAAATTATATAAACTATTATTTACATCAATTTCAATTTTATATTATTATAATGTTTATTTCGTAAATATGATTTAAAAATATTATATGATTTTAACACATTCCTAAAGGAGTATATATTGAAATAGAAAACTCCAATTTATTCATAAATACATTTATAATATTTACATTTTGTTGAAAATCGCAACAATTTTAAAGAATTATATTCAAAATTCAAACAATTTCAGAAAAACTCTCGTATTTATGTAGTTTATTTAAATATTTACTATGATATATGTATTTTTAAATATTTAATATATGTCATTGGTCATTGGATATGAAAAAAAAGACTTAAAAAATAAATTTTAAGCATGAAAAACAAATTATAAAATTAATACGGAAACATAAATAGGTATTAAAAAAAATATATAAAACTTACATATATATGGATATATGATATATTATGATTAAATAAATTAAGTTACATAATTTATAACACATTTTTAATAATTTATTTAGTTTAAATAAATTATTTTAATTTTTTAACTTTAAGTAATATATATTAAAAATTATTATGTTTCTGACCTTTATATATGTTTTTTACTTATTAACCTTTTATTTATTTGACTTAATATTTTTTATATTATTTAATTATATTTTTATTATTTAGATTTTTTATTTTATTTTTATTTTAATTGAATTATTAATAATTCAATTTAATTATATCATAGTTCATTATTATTTACAAAACATTTATTTTATTTATGTAATTTATGTATATTAAAATTTTATTTTTTGCATTAAAAATTTATTTAAAATTATTATGCTGCATTTATATTTGTATTAATTAATAATTATTTATTTTTTTAGTTAAAATCCCTAATAAATAATAATTAAAAATATAAATATATATTGAAATATGTAATTATATATACTCTTTTATTTAATATAAAATTCTACTTATTTTAATAAATATTTTTATTTAATTATTAAAAAAGCTCTATAAATAAATATTATAAAACATTACACATATTTAATTCATATTAATATATAATTATATTTAATTATATTTATAATTTAAAATTAAAATATCAAATTTCATCAGATATAGAATTAATAATGGTAAAAAATTAATTAAATATTATTTTTAAAATGTTGACAATAAATAAATATAAATATTTTAAAAATACTTCTATTTCAAATTCATTTTTTTATAAAAACTAATTATATAAAACAAATAGATATTAATCTCCTTATTTTGCTTTCTTTTTTATTTTACTAATAAACTAATTTATTATTTTTTTATATTTTAAAAAGTATTATATAAATATATTTTTATATATATATAAAATTATACATATAAATTATAGTAATTAAAATTAATAAAAAAAATTACATTAAAATTATTTTTTATCAATTTACATTATAAATTCAGTTTTAAAATCATCAAATATTAATAAATAAATTATAATAATAAAATTTAATTAAACAAAAAAAGCATGAAAATTTCTTTAATTTTACTAACTTTATCTCTATTTTATTTAATTGTTCCTACATGCTAACAAGAAGAAGTAGCTTTTGGTTGGAATTCTTTTTTGACATCTCCCAGACAAAATAATAACCCTAGAATATCTGAAAAGGGAGTCTAGAATTGGAGCACTCAATAATAAATAATAAGTATATATTTTTACGTAAACAAAAAAAGTGAATTGACTTTAAGCCTTAATGTGGAAGATGTTTAACGTGATGCTGAAATCATAGTATCAATCCCTTAACTTTAAAAGTCCCTTATTATTTAAATATAAAGAGGTCAAAAAGTTATTACTCTCTTTGATATAACAGTATAAGAACCTCAATATTTGAAAATAAATTTTCAAGGAACTGATAATTAAATAAATAATCAAAAAGGAAACTATCCAACATTAACTTCTTTATTAGTTTCTGGCTCAAACTTAGACTTAAACTATGTAAAAAAAAGTTTTTCTTCTCACTTTGGAAGAAGAGGTCCTTCTGTGCATTTTACATATGAAGAGCCAATAAAGGAAATCGAATGGTTTTATAATGAAGTATTTGTGCCTAAAGGAAACGATCAAATAGGAACATATGCTATGGCTATAGGTTTTGCATAAGGTTATTTCGGAATATAAGTAAATTCCCAAACTGAAAGAAGAATCTTGTTTTCGGTCTGGAGTAATTAATAAAGTGATAATCCAAATGAAATTATGCCTGATAATAAGGTAATTTGTTTGTAAAAAGGAAATGATGTTGTAGTTAAAGAATTCGGAGGAGAAGGGTCTGGTGGCTAAAGTTATATGATTTATCCTTGGAAAGTTGATGTTACTTATAAATTCTGGTTAAGGGCTTAACCTTAGGCAGATAATAAAACTAATTTTACTGCTTATTTCTATGATCCTGATACTTTGAAATGGCTTTTAATTGCTTCTTTCTAAAGAAATTATACTAATACTTATATTAAAAGACCTCATTCCTTTTTAGAAAATTTCAGTCCTGAATATGGACATTTGAAGAGAAAAGTCTACTTTGGTAATTAATGGGCTATCCCAAAAAGTTAACCTGGAAAAGGAGCGATACCTATGAAATCTAAATTTGCAATATTTACTACGGATAGTACTGGTAGTAATAAAATGAGATTAGACTTAAATGGTGGGAATGAAGGTAATTATTTATTTTTAGAAAATTGTGGATTTAGTTTTGACGGAAGGAATCTTATTAAAAGTTATAAAATGTATCATGATAAACACTTTAATAGTCAAAATAT